GTGGTGGCGTACTGAACGCGTATGTTGCCTATACAATGACTTACGCTAGTCAGTCCATGTACAAGTCAGTGCTTCTGTTTTTCCAGATAAGTTTGGTTTCTCTGAAGTTTCCGACCCCGGAAGTAGTTCCCAGCCCTGGAAGGATAGAAGCACTGTTTGGGTCAGACGGACATCGAGCCGGTATTCAAACCCGTGGCTGTTCGTCTGGAATAGCGTGCTAGTTGCAACTATAATAAAACAAACTACAACACCACCTCCGCCCACCGAGCACGTATATTTAACAGTAATTCGGACTTCGAAAGAGGTCGAAAGAAACGGAGGATCAGGTGAACAAAGCACGGTATTCAATCTTCCAGACCACTCCAAAAAGGTTCAACTGAGGGGAGAACGTTCCTCATCGGGATGTCGTCCGATATTTGTTCTAGTAAAATAACCCTATCACTGTATCCGATTAGATTGCACTTCGAGAAAGGAGATTTACCAGAAGGGGGAGAGGGATGAAGGTAGGAGGTATGTGAGAAGGAGAGCAACAAAATAGATATTTTTTCAAGTTCGACGTAGTGTAAATTCAATTCCTAAAATATAATTTTACTCCAAATCGCAGTCATCCGTTGTGCTATGACAAAATGATTTTTTCCTGCACCGAAAACGGGTCTACCAAGGATGACTGCACATGGGACGACGTATTAAGTTATTTAAGGAGTCCGAAAAATTGTTGTTCTTAAGTGGACAACTTCGAAACAATAACCGTGATCTTGCATTTCTTAAAGGAAGAGATTGGGTGCATTCAGACTTCACCAACACGCAGTGTTTGCATTGACCGACCAACCGATCGACAGCGCTCCCGGTCACGTGTTGACAGCGCAGTACAGATCGTAATCAAAGCCACGGGAGTCGTTAAGACGCGTGATCCATCGGTGTCCTGCGTTGTCAACACGTGGCCAGGAACTCTATCTGCTTCCATTGAATAGTGGTAGACACTACTGTTCCACATGAAGGAACACCAAAGATCTCGACTTACCTTGTCATTGCTTCCCAAAGTGCGGTAGTCCGGCCAAGCCTGCAGCCACTCGTAGATCAGAAGGATATGCGTCCGAATGCTTTTCCGAAATGAGCGGAATGACAATGGCCGGATGTCTTCTCTAGTGTAAGGCTGAAAATATAATACAATACATAAATCGGAAAGAAAAAGCCTACTAAATCGCATTGTGAAAAAACTGCTTACACAGTTCGATGTTTGGCCAAAGACTTTATCGACTGGTCTTTCACAGAAGAGGATTCGACGCCGCTCACCCAACTTCATCTCTTCGCGTACCAGCCAAGTAAGAACCTTGGCGAAAGATTTTCCTTTTCATTTTCAACAAAGTTTAACAACAACGCAATCATCGCCAGACACTGGGCGCTGTGTCCTACTTTCATGGCATCTCTACTTCCTAATAACTATGTACTATCATGAACAAAACCTACGTCATCGGGCTCGGTCCTCAGCACGGACGGCAAAGGTGACGAAACCGCACTTGTAACATTTGAATCCTGGCCCTTTGTCTTCTAGAAAGCAAACCAATTTTCGCAAGGTTCTTATGCAATGTTTTGAAAATGCTGCACAATCAAATGGGTAGTTTAGACAGAGAAGGCTAATCCGTGGGCACTTAACCCATTGACGACCATGTAGTGCATATGTGGACTGCACTTTTTCGGCCATGTGGGACCGTGCAGTCGACATGTGGACTGCAGTTTTTCTTTGTTTTATTCATTTATATTTCTAATTTTTTTACAATTTTTCATCTCGAAACATCACATCAGGCCTAAATGAAACTAAATACAGCGTGGTCGTAGAAAATCTTCTAATCTTGCAATTGTAAAGGTGTTTTTTGGAAGAGGTACATCACATTGGCGAGTTCTCCGTTCACTGGAGAACCTCGGAAAATGAGATATTGAGATAGAAGAAGAATGAGATTGTCAGAAATACGGTCGTCATTAGCATTTCCGCGGTCATCGACCAAATGCAAAGCTCGTAACAGTTCCGCGAAACGATTTCCGGTAATGATTGAACTCATAATGGAATGACCACTAGAACGAACGCCGTTTCTATAATAAAGGCCATTTGAAGGAACATTCCAAAAAACTAATAATTTCTCTTATAAACTTCAAAAAATGGTCATTCTGGACCATGAAGTACACATGTGGGCTGCAGTCGCGAGTGGACGCCGGTCCCTCGCGGCGCTTTACTCTCAAATAGTCATGGTCGTCAATGGGTTAAGCATCACCCCTTCAGTTGCCTAGATATCGTTGAAGTCTAACACGGATTCAGTTCATCAAATGTCATATTTCTATTATTGAATAAGAATAAAAAGGATCGAGGCTTACATTTGGATATACACCCCCCCCCCCCCCCCCACTCCCCCAAGGCAGGCGTAGCTTCGGGAAGTTCTCAGATGCCTGCACATTTTCGATCTTGCCCACTCTTTCTACATTTTGTGGCTAGTAGACGTTCGTTGAATCTATGAGCTTACGTAGAAAGTATCGTCTACTGTGAGAACCCTCCGCCCACTGTAAGTGATTCTTCCTCATTTATCTGTTGATCTATCGCTCACATTTGCTCATTTCCACCGCGCCTGGGCTGTCATGATACCAAATTACATCGCTCTCGTAAGCAGAGACCCGCTGATACCACATTTATTTTGTTGATCTTACCCTATGAACTACCCATTTCAAACTTGATCCGGAACTCTTCAGGAGCTTCGTAAAGTAATATCGATTCTCGTGACAGAGAGATAGACAGACGTTAGCATAGTAAGATAGTATTTTATATATAATACAGTAAATTATAGTAAGATTATAGCGAATTGTAGTTATAGTAGTATGGTAATATATTGTATAGTAAGAATAAGACGTCAATGTTCACAACAGGTAGTATCTACAGTGGACCGAACATGTGTTTAAAAAAGCAAGTAGACCTGGAAAAAGTGTCAGAAGTGGTTCACCTCGCTTGGAGATGTTTCTGAAGAGCTGGTATCGTTACTATCTGTGGAGGAGCGTGGATTGATAGGTACCTGAAACTCAATAGGTAACCTCTCAAATTTACATATGAAGTAAGTAATCGCGCTTGGGATGCAGACAGCACTACTATTCCTCAAGCGGGCATCTTTCAAGAAAGGCCTGGGTGACCACCTGACCATTTAGTATTTATTCATCTGCACCCGACCCGTTTCCAGTGCATTGAACTTGCTCTTAAAAGCACGTTAACGATAAAAACGGCACCTAAGACTCCCTCCGGAGATTCCCAGGTGCTCCTTAAGGGTAACATAAAGTATGCTCGGGTCGAGGAACTCAATATGTAGTAAGAGCTCCATCACTGGATTCATCGACGTCCCTGCCCGTCGACCGATTATTTGTCATACGAGTGTCGAGGCAATACAGTTGCGCTATTCGCACCGGGACCCACATGTTCAAAATGCGATCAACTGATTTCCGAGGGGTGAGGGGATGTTTTACTTTTGCACTGTTATTCTTCTTGCTGCTGTGGCCATTTCTCTAGTTGTCCACCTTACAGAGACGAAGAACGACTATTTTTGCTGCTGGTCGCGTTTTTGTTAACTTGCGGCTAGATTTAACGACAGTGAGAGATTTTGCTTACTGTAGTCGACACACGTTGTACAGCTTGTCCGAACAACCCTTCTACGTCTTTTTGTCTCTCGTCCAGCCCCGTTTTCTACGACTTTTGGGAGCCTTTTATCTCTTGAGAAACACCGATTTCAGTAGTTTCTCAGCCTCCATCGCACTATTCTCCACCTTCTTTTTCATTTTTCGTCATTATCATTGCAACCAAAAATTGCCGTGACCTGTGCCCTTAAGATGTAGCCATGCGTCACCGTAGTTGTTTGGATTTCCAACATACCTGCCCCTTGTAAATGGTGCAGCCTCCATATGTCTTTGTATGGTGTAGCCTCTACAATACCTTTGGGTGTGGACGTCGACAAAGGTGGTCGTGAGCTCGTATTGCCCCTAACTCGGCGACAGCTCCCCATATGGCATATTTGTGAGCCACGCGATCATCCTTGGTGGAAATCTCGGACCATTTTAATCGCGAACTGTGCCTCAATGCTCCACTCCATCGCATTGGTCACCCGAATATGGCTTTCTCATGCAGGCGCGGGCTCTCAGTCTTCTACTATGAAAGCTCTCTATAAAGCATTAGTGGGTGATTACCATGAAATGCAAGAAAAAAAANAAAAAAAAGGAAAAGCAGTGAGAAAATGAACAAAAACAAAATCCTAACCGCTTCGATCTGCTCCCTTTCTTCTCTGGACATTGGAGCTACAACTGCAAACCTTTTGTTTCTCTTCAGGCCGGATTTAGTATAGAACGTTCTGCGATGATGTGGATGACCTTTTCGAGGTTGAACGCCTCAAAATAAATGAAAAATGGTGAGGAATAAGTTAAAAGGATTTGTAAAGGCAATGGATCTTCTAACGTCAAAATCAATCGATTGTACAACATTTCCACCCAGAGACCAATCAACATACCCGCTCTATTCATCCCTGCTTTTAAACATTTCTCGAATCTGCATGAGCGACAGATCTGATGCATGCCTGAAATGTCATCAAAAACCTCATCGAAGAAGGATAGCGAACGAACTGCTCATTAGTTTTTTCACATTCCATGGAAGGAAGCGCTATTCCATAGATTAGCTGAGGGTAGACTGGAGCTTCTCAAAAAGTGTCGTTCATGTCGCTGAGCCCCACACTAGGGCATCATCACCGTCAAAACCACCTGCTGACGTCAAGAACGACCGCTTATGGGTGTGCCAAAGGCTTAATAATTGGTCCAATATTTAATAGTCAATTAGATTAATCTGTAAAAGTGTGCGCTCAAACGGGGAACAAGGACAGCAACATATGGACACCACTTAAGTCAAAACTTTTACAAAGATCATCTGCAAAATCAACTTCATCGTGAAGCTGTCACTAACTCTCAACGTGTAACCTATTCAAACTTACTGTAGTGGACATTACAGTCGGATCGGTTTGCTATGCAAACAAACTTTTTGTTGAGCGACACCGTACGTCGAAAGAAAGCTGCACACGCCGAACAGGACTGAGCATCAAAATGGAATCCCGTCGCCTGTGCTTCACATACCAGGCATCGATCTGAGACTGAAGCATTATCAAAATATTACTTACTATTGCAATTCAACGCGGACCTAATCCCCTTATTCATTGCTTCTTCTGTTTTTCCTATTCTCCTACACATGCAGTAATTTTGTCGAACACAGCGAACAGCAATTCAGGAACAGATTTGGCTTTTAGAAAAGATTAAATAAAATACTCATTGAAAAGTCAAGAAAGTGCGCTTACCGTCATTTTTTGAATCCTTTGAAAGCGTCTGGTCGGCAGAGTTCATTGTTGAGTTAGAGGCGACGGTTGCGATTCGATACTCGTATGATAACGTGCAGAAGCATCTGATAAGATGGCATCGTCGTGGTGTTCGAAAGGGGTTACCAGCCAAGTCTCAAACTGTTCTTTGCTCTCGAAATAGAATTCATTTCAATAGGAAGGAAGTAGGCAGCAGGATTTATAACATCCTTCTTTCTATCCCATATTCTTCAAATTCCAAACTGACCAAAAATAAGTAATTTCCCCAATTTTTTCATGCTGAGATTTTGCTAGAGCAAGGGACGCGCTTCCGCATGTTCACTCAGGGCCGCGAATCAACTTCTAAACGAGGAGCCAATTATTCATCAATATCAGATCTCTCTGCTACCGGATTCGTCTGAAAGAGCATAAGCAGTGGCATGCGTATCGGAGCGGTCAGCTCCAGTAGGTTATTCGGAAGAAAAGATATGTATTAAAGTTCGCGTCACGATAAAGTAGAAAGTACTATGCATGGTGTATCCACAAGGGACAAAATACTGTCGCGCCTGCCGTGTCTGCGCGATAATTGGGAGCAAGGGAGAATCATTTTGAGAAAATCCGGAGCACATTTTTTGAAGGCACAGTTCACGATAAAAATTGGTTTGTGAGATATCCCCTTAGAATGAATCTGTGGCCTATCCGTGTATCACATGTGGCGCTCTCAAACCGGAAAACCGCCTAAATAAGACGTTATAATGGGTCAGAGATTGTATCGGCTGTATGTCAATGTTTATGCGTAAGAGCAGAATTTATTCGGCCAAGTAGTGCATAACAGGGTACCACCCATTCTACAGTGCAGCGCTCATGTCAACTAGCCGACCGAGAGAGATGAAAATCTTGATTAGCCTGTGATCAAATTTCTCGATCAATTCTGTTTTAGCTTTCCTGCCACGACGCCAATCATGAGCATATTTGAACAGCACTGCTTTCTCCGGATTGTAATTTATGCCTCTATTGAAATGTTTAAAAATAAAAGTCAAAATGCTGATTGTGTAAAGCCAAACCTCATGGCAGTTTTGGAACTTTGCTTCAACGAGAGAAGATTCCTTCGAAAGAAAATAGTGAAGGGAATAAGAACAACCGCAAGTACTTCTTTTCCAATCAAAAGTCATATTCAAAGACTATTGGCATTTTCTATCGTGTAGTAGAATTTTATTAGATAAATCGTGTAAGGAAAACTAATCTCATTTCGGAAATAAACATACTTCTAGGTACAGAAAACTACGAACCATCAAGTATTCAGAGCACTTCAAATGACATTCGCGAGAACAGAAAGCGTGCGTGAAAGGTAATGGTATTGGTCAGAGCCGGAGTAACCCTTGAAGGCCTTACTGTAGTTAGTCGAGCATCGTATTTCGAAAATGAACCACTTCAATTCGCCTTCAACGAATTCAGGCAAGTCATACATCGTATAACTATATCGATATTGCAAAACCGTTTCTGATACAATGACTTCATTCCATGTTATTATGGGAACCCAATCAGTGAAGAAGTGAAGACTGTTCCCGCTGCGGCTGGAGAACAGAACCTGAGTAAGGCCGAAACCTGGTGTTGGAAAGGTTCGAAGAAAAAGGCGCTAACTTACTGCCTTTGTATTTCAGCAAAGGTCAATCAGTAATATGTGGGCAGGTGATTCTCGTATGCCTCAAATTCTATGCAGGATTTGGACAGCACCCGAGAGCGTGGTGTTCAGAAAGCTTATGAGCTCCATGTCAATTTCGGTATTCCAAAACACTGATGTGGTGATGGCAGCAGTAGCTGGAAATGGTATCATCCCTAATTCGTTGCTTATCGTATATGATTTCACATCAGATTTCTCTTTCGCTTTTTCTTCATTGCTCCTCACACTAGCATAAACTGCCGAACTTACTTGAATCCACTTCTAGCACTCGAAGAAGTTTCCATGAGATTTACTATCGGTTCTAGAAATTGTGACCCGCATCCTCCGTTGGGCATAAAATGGTTGACTCGTGGCTAATCTATTTTGAAGGAAATACTAGAGATTACTCCATAATAAAATGTAATGTCAATATTTGCTATGGGCAGCATGAAGTGGAGAAAATAGGAGCAAAGCCTTTAGCATCGCAAAGAAACTCTTTTCACGAGTGCCCAGATGACATCCCACCTGGTCAAAATCTTAGTCAGTGAATATTAGATAGGTCCGAACACTTTTCTTACACATGATCATGAGCTCAAATATCTTCTTCACCTGTTCGCCATGTCCTCTCATGCATAGTAGATTTATGAACGTTGTGGCATCCGGAAGTTTTGGAGTTTTGGAAGTTAAAAATAAACAATTCATAGTGGAGCATTTCAAGCATTCTGCTTCCCATGTCTATAATCCTATCAATGATCTCTACCTCTGTCTAATTGACGAACCGTAATAACAAGAGCAAGTAGGAGCCTGAAACCGCCAGGTGGGCATGAAACTAAAAAAAGCAATCCAAAAAATTGGACAGAAACCTGAAAGAACGTTTCATCGTTGCTGGAGGTGTTCTTGGAACTAATGAAGACAAGGGAAGTTAGACTATCCTAGAATTCCTTTCCAAATATGTCGCAATTAACTAAATTGCTTATTGAGTGAGAATTGGGATGACTGGGAATTTCAGAACAAGGTCTAATTTGTGGCAGCAATACTCCTCGCGTCGTTCATTCTCCTTGGCGTTCTTACATCTGAAATTCAATGGAGAATCAAGGATCTTAATGTTAATAAGCACGCTAAGCTCCAAGGTTTTCACATCCCCATTACACCTCGTGACACGCAGGAACCATTCGGTACTCAAGCACTGTTAAAAAAATTCGTAGTTAGGAGCTTTCAGCGTGATGACCTTCATTACCCTTTATTCCTTCACCCTACTTTGATTTTTGTGGATTTCTCAACAATCTAGCTTGTGCTAAGATAAATTCAACAATAGTTGGGGTTGCGGTGCTTTCCAGCTTTTCTTGGGGGATCCTTTCATTCATCTGAGAAATCTAATGCAAGACTGTATAAAAGTCTTCAAGTCTTGGGGCGTCAATCCCGTGTGAGGGATGTGCCAAAGCATTCGACCTCAGTTCAGGGTCGTAGTACGTAAAGAAAGCGTATGTGGCCTATATAATGATCTGGGGTGTCCAGCCGATGTATAATTTACCGCTTTTATCCTCTTAGACGAGTCTGGTACCGACTGACCGACCGCGTAGGGATGGAAGGCTTGGTCGGCCCAGGCGGATATCGATTCAGGATTTGCACCAATGACCATGCGTGTGTGAAGTGCGCCACTTGCCACTGCGCATCCTCCTCCCCTAAAGTTTTTTTCAGTAGTTAGTTTAGTATAGTTTTCAGGATACTCTACACTCCAGTCCTACCACTAAAAGGGGTAGAAGTTTCTTCGAGCATGTCACACGCGTGAAACCTAGTTGGGGACTGAGCTGTGTCTGATAAGGAAGTGAATTAGAAAGATAGCTACTCTAGACATCAAAGATGCGGAACTTTTTTGCGGAATCAAAGACAACTCACTTTTATATACACATGAATTATGACGTAAAAAGCATAATATTTGATACAGCAGAGCTGAAAAGACGTCAGTCACTTTAAATAACGCAAGCGATCCGACCTACACGCCTTTTACTCTCAATGGTGTTGTGTCACGAGTCCCAGCTGCCTACGGACCGAATTCTGCACCGGTGCAACCCTGAATGGTAACGTCCTCGATTTGTCGAAAATAAAAATTACAGGAGACATTTTATAGAAGCATCTGTTGTACTGCCTGTCGTGACGAGGGTACGACCTTGTTATACTCCGAGGCCGAAGGACAAACCGAAGGATGCCTGGCGCCTCAGGCCATAAGGTCCTATACGAAAGATTTGACGTAGCGCACTCGATGTCTGGTTCTAACCCGGCGGACTGAGTATGTAATTACGTCAGCTCGCTGTCATAATATACCTATTTTATCTTCTTTTCTATATTGCTTGAATTCTATTCAGTCAATTATATGAATCTCGAGTTTGCATACGAGTCGTTCAGTCACAGTGTGAGTCTGATGGAATGAAACTTGGAATAAGTTGGCATTCCTCATCTTTGCATCTATCTCACTCCTCGGATGTATCTTCTTGGCGCAAATCATTGGTTCCTCATCTTTGTAGATGTTAATCCGCTCTTAGTAATTACCACTATGTTAAGATGTAATTCTTGTCTTGTCATATGTATGCCTTGCCATATATTTAGCCTTGCCAGGTGTTAGCCTTACCACGTTATTTGGAAGTGCCATAATATTTAGCCATATCTTGATATTGAGCCTCACCAGTATTTGTGAAATAAGAGATAAACGTATAATGATGTGTTCGCGTAATGTAAAAGATGCATGTTGTATAACAAGGACAACTGGGTCAGTCCTTGAGAAGAACGATAACACGGGAATAGTGACCAGGCACTAGGAAATTCCTAAGTTTTGTGGTGATGAGGGTTAAAAAACACCGATGCTCCGCCTATGCGGGCTCCTTGTCACCACAATGCCTAGCTTCAAGTACTCTCACAGACTACGAATCTTAGCTTATTTCCTGAGGAACCCGTGGGCACAAATATTCGAGACTTCTCGTGGAATAACTGCTTACTGGATTCCCCGCTGGCTAAGCGCGCTTTCCGTCTTCCAATAACTGGAAACTTGTCAGCAAAAGAACTTGAAGTGAAGAGAAACAATGAGNAAAAATCTCACATATGCTACGGCGTAGACACGATTTGCGTTCAAATTCTGTAGGTATGAAAGCGTAACTCATGACTCTCTCAGAAAAAGCATCAGTTCATTTATTGGCTTTTTTCTTATTCAATACTAACACTATTTTTCATATTCGACTTTGATGCCGTGGTTTCCTCCCTGGGCAAGTGTCCGAGAGCAACCTTTGACCGTACAGACAAAACATTTGGTTTTTGTGGAAATAACTAAGAGTTTGGAGCGTTTGGAAATGCAATACACAGCAAGGCTAGTGCTCTTCATACATTTTGAAAGCAACTTGTAAATGTATCTCCGTAATGTACAATTTAGGGATCGAGCTGCTCGTAATTGAAGGCCTACCTCGTGCCGGTAGATAAGTCGTGAAAATTTGCTATGATGACGACAAATGAGGGATTGATGTTTCTTCAGTCCTCCTAAATTAAATATTATACGTATGTGACAATAATGTATATGCGTATGAAAATGAAGCTAGTGCCTCAGTCCTATATCCTCGCATTTCTTCAACTTCCGTAGCTATCCTTTCATACCAGTTCATTACGGTTTCCTCTTTAGTTCAACTCAGTAAATATGTAATTTGAAAATTTTTACCAGTTTCTGATCTCTCCGTGGACCAGTGAAGGATTACATGTTCTATCAAAGCGCTCGTTCAAAAGGGTCGACGTCAAGGCAATATCGCTGGGTGTATAAATAATTCACTAGCAGCATCTAACTAGCTGTCTATCGGCGCGACATATCGCTTGAAATCACTGTCTGTTACTAGTAGGGCAAGGCAGTGCCAAGTATATTGGAAACCAACTTGATGACAATTGAAAATAGCAGGAAAGTCTTCGACTTCTATTTCTCCCTGGAGGGTCGCTTCAGGAGAGGAACATTTAGTCATCAAGAAAACATCACCTCCCTGCAGTCCTTCCATCGCATATACAGGCCCAGGCAAGTGCTGCGATCAGCACCTCAACATCATTTGAAAATTGATGGGAAGCAAGATTGTTAGGGTAGTACTATCTTGTGAAAAAAAGGAAATTCCTTATAAGTATCCACTTACCTAAAAAGCTCTCGACTTTTTTCAAGCAGTGAGTGGTAGGAAAACTCTGCGACAAAAAGGATGGCGCGAACAACTTGACCGTAACACAGAATATTTCTTCTGTGTTATTAGTATGCACCAAAAATTATTTGAAGCATTTATAGAAGAAATATTAGGATGAGGTTGGTTTCACTCATCTTAATCCCGGGCGTCACTGTCTATAGCAACAGCACCACTATCACAAACAATGAAGAGGTTTATTCTTAAGTTTGAACCAAT